TGAATTGACAATGAAGACAAGTTTTCCAAATTGTCTGTGGCTATGTGAACTTGGAACACATTTTGAGAATGGAGTTCCATGAGAGAATAAGATCTAAAAAACTATTCGAGTCAACATTGTTTTAATTATCCCAAGGAGGGTATATAATTAGTTCCAGTCCGGAGGAATGGAGGACAAACTAATTCACTGCCAACAATGGATGCCTCAGGACATCTGTACTTCTTCACTTTTCTATCAAATTCAGTTTACAGAGGGTACAGAGTGGAAATGATACAGGGACATAGATATGTCAGTTTTCTTTCCTGAATGCTTTCTTGCTAGCTCATAAAAGTTTTCAGGGCTTGGACTGAAAAACCACAAGTATAATAATGATAAGAAGCCATATTTTATAGTGTTTGGAAAAAGCTCTCCTGTGTTGGGACAAGTTACATCAGAGATATTCCCTAATAAAATATTAGCAAACCAAACTCAACAGCACATTAAAAGAACTTGGTAAGAACTTCCTGGAGGAAAGATGTCTCCAGTGCGCCTGCTCACCTCAGATAATCTAAAGAAAAAAGGATATAAGGTGGCTGGGTTAGCTACTGCATGACATTTGCTGTGTTTTGTGGCCTAGGGAAGCCTGAATTTAGTGGAATTATTCCTGGTATTGGAGGAGCTTTTCTCTGAGCATTTTCCCTTAGAATAGATTGTTCAAAGGTGATAGTGAGATCATCACAGTGTATGGTCTACAGTTAAGCTTCTCACAGTCTGGGTGGGTTAGAATCATCTGATTAACTGGGCAATTTCCCAGGTGATGTGAATATACATAAAAATTGGGAATTAGTGGCCTAAATATGCACTGTGTAAAATATGATACTTAGGGATGTAGATAAATATTATTTTTCTTGGTGAAAGGCTGTGGGATATACTTACTCTTTAACACCTTCATGGTTTCTTCAGTGATGTATGTGCTGGTTGTCTGTGTTCATTGGGTTATTTTCTTCTTGGGAGAGTGCAATGTTGAAGTTCCACTTTTAGGATACAGGTGGCCAGAAATCACGTTTCCCATATAAGTTATGAGTTGACTAATTTATGTTTGAAAACTTTTAATTGTATTCAATCCAGCTGCACCATGGATTAAACCATCTTCCTAAAATGAGGCAAGATTTCACCAATATAATAAAGACAAGTGACTACACTGCGGGCTGGGTAGTGGGTGCTAATCCATACTGAGCAGTCCTGTTCCTTGGAAAGAAGCCCAGTCTTAGAATACAGTTTAGTGTTAATAAATTACTGTCTCATTGTCATCACAGATCTGGCAGTTCTGTTCCTTTATGACATGTGTAAGGGTTTCTCTCAAGGGTAACATGGTTTAAGTGTCAGGAAGTAGAGGGCCCTTAGAAATCCAGGTTAAGTGAAAGGAACCACTTCACATGAGGAACCACTCAGAGTGACCCACTCCAGTGGTAAATGGATCGAGGCCAAAGCCTAAATCTGACTGCTGAGCTGGGAAGTGAACTACATCATCAATCAAATGGATATAATGGACATCTTTAGACTACTTCATCCAATGACAGCAAAATATACATTGTTCTCAAGCTCACAAGAAACATTCACCAAAATAGGCCATATTCTGGGTCATAAAACACACTTTAACAAATTTAGAAGATTACAAATCATACAATGTCTGCTCTCAGATCACAATGAAATTAAACTAGAAATCAGTAACAGATTGCTAGAAAATCCACAAATACTTTGAGATTAAATAATACACTTCTAAATAACCCATACATTAAAGAAGAAATCAAGAGAAATTTCAAAATGTTTTGAATTAAATGAAAATAAAAACATAACTTATCAAAATTTGTGAAATGAAGTAAAGCAGTTTAGAGGAATATTAACAGCATAAAATGCACATATTAGAAAAGAATAAATATCTAAAATCAATCACCTAAGATTCTACCTTAGGACACTAGAAAAACTAGAACAAATTAAATCCAAAGTAAGCAGAAGAAAAGGAATAACAAAAATTAGAGCAGAAATCAATGAAATTGAAAATAGGAAATCAATGGAGAAACTCAATAAACCCAAAATTTGGTACTTTAAAAAGATCAATAAAACTTCTAGCCAGGCTAACCAAGAAAAAAAAATAGAATAAATAAATTACTAATGTTGGAAATGACAGAGGGGAAATCACTACAGATTTCATAGACACTAAAAGGATATAAAAGAATATTCCAAACAATTGTATGCCTACAATTTTGATAACCTAGATGAAATGAAATGGACCAATTCCTTGAAAGACATAATCTTCCAAAAATCTAACACAAAAAAGTAGGCAATCTGAATAAGCCTCTATCTATTTAAAAATTGAATCAATGATTAATAACTTTCCAAAACATCAGTAGGTCCAGATGGGTTCACTAGTGAATTCTACCAAACATTTAAGGAAGAAACTATATAAATTCTCTACAATCTCTCTCAGAGGATAGAAGCAAAGGGAATACTTTCCAACTCATCTGTCCAGCATTATAATGCTAAAATCAAAAAAGGCCTTACAAGAAAATAAAACCAGAGACCAATATCTTTCATGAACATAAATGCAAAAATCCTCAACAAAATATTAGCAAATTGAATGCAACTCTGTATAAAAATAAGTATACACAAGAACCAAGTGGGATTTATACAAGTATGCAAGGCTGGTTCAACATTCAAAAATCAATTAATGTAATATATCATATCAATAGGCTAAAGAATAAAAATCACATTGCATATCAAGAGATTCAGAAAAAGCATATGACAAAATCCAACACCTATTCATGATTTTTAAAAAATCAGCAAATTAGAAATATAGGTGAATTTCTTCAACTTGATAAAGAACTCTATGAAAAACCTATAGATAACATACTTGATTCTGAGAAACTCAAAGCTTTCCCATTAAGATAAAGAAGGCAAGGATGTTCCTTCTCCCCATTGCTTTTCAACATCGCACTGGAATCTTACCTAATGTAATAAGTCAATAGAAAAAGGTATACATATGGGGAAGGAAAAAACAGAACTGTGTTTGCTTTTGGAGATTTCTATTGAGATATCCTCAAGCTCAGAGATTCTCTTCTCAGCCATGTCCAGTCTACTAATAAGCCCATCGAAGGCAGTCATCATTTCTATTACTGTGTTTTTTATTTCTAGCATTTCTTTTTGATTCTTAGAATTTCCATCTGTCTGCTTACATAGTCCATCCATTATTTTATCCACCGATGCTCTTAGCATATTAATCATAGTTGTTTTAAACTCCTGGTCTGAAAATTCCAACATCTCTGCCACATCTGAGTCTGGTTCTGATGCTATCTCTTCAAACTGTGATTTTGGTTTTTGTTTTGCCTTGTAATTTTGATAGCCAGACATTTTGTATTGTGTAAAAGTAACTAATATAAACAGGTCTTTAGTACAGTAGTCTCCCCTTATCTGCAGTTTTGCATCCCACAGTTTCGCTTACCCATGGTCAGCTGTGGTCCAAAATATTAAATGGAAATTCCAGAAACAAATGGTTTATACGTTTTAAATTTCAAGCCATTCTGAGTGGTGTGATGAAGTCTCTCACTGTGTCCTGCCTGGGACATGAATCATCCCTTGTCCAGTGTATCTGTTATGTATATGCCACCTGCCTGTTAGTCACTTAGTTGCCATCTCTGTTATCATGTTGACTATTGTGATATCACAGTGCTTGTGTTCAAGTAACCTTTGTTTTACTTAATAATGGCCCCAAATACAAGAATAGTGATTTTGGCAATTTGGATATGCCAAAGAGAAGCAAAAAAAATGATTCTGTTAACTGAAAGGTGAAGGTTCTCTACTTAATAAGAAAAAAATATTATCCTAAGGTTGCTGAGATCTATAGCACAATAAGATATTTTGAGAGACAGCAAGAGAGACCACATTCACACGACTTGGATTACAGTATATTGTTATAATTGTTATAATCTGGACGGTAAATATGCTCAAAGCTATTGGAATGCCAGTGCTTGCTGGGCTGTTAGGGAATATGTACACATTATCTATATATTTAATATGTTGAATTCTCTATCTTCTTCTAGTATTTTAAAAGACTCATAAGAATCCAACAGCAAACTCACACTTTTACTTAAAGGCAAAGATATGGTACAATAAGAGAGAGAATGCAACACCAAATGCATAATTGATAAAAGAACAAATGGATAAACTGGACTTCATTAAAATTAAGAAATTCTGTTCTAGGAAAGATACTGTTAAGAGATGAAAACAAAAGCCACAGACTGAAAAAATATTGTCAAAGCTTATATCAAAAAAGGAACTTGTATCCAGGATTATTATTAAATTACAAAATAATAAGAAACCAATCAAATTTTTAAAAAATAGGCAAACAATATGAATAGACATTTCACTAAAGAAGATATATGACAAATACACACATGAAAAATGTTCAACACTGTGTCACTAGGAAAATACAAATAAAAACCACAATGAAATACTACTACACACCTGCTAAAATGGCTAAAATGAATGGCCCATGATTTACACACATACAGATTGTTGGTAAGGATGTGAAGAAATTGGGAATTTAATATACTCCAGGAGGAAATGTGAAACGCATAACTATTTAGAACACAATTTTTCAGGTTCTTGATATTTTAAACATTTGGATCAAATTCCAGCATGACAGCATGAAAAGCTTCATAGATTCAGCTAAACTAGCAAAAATTATAAAAACACAATTCAAAGTCTCTGGAAATGGTGCTATGGGTATATAGCAAATTAAAAAATAATTATTCAATAAAATCTAACATTCAGTAACAACAGTAAATCAGTCACCTTTGAAGGAAGACCACTCCTTCCCTCCTCCCCTCTTAACTCAACAAGATGGAAACTCTACTCCAGGTGGGTAGACCTGAGAACACAGGGCTCCCTCTCCCTGGGGCTCCCAGGCAGAGCGCTATCTTCTTGGGAGGAATCTGTCAGGAATTCTGATCCTGTCTCCAGTGTGCATATTTGGATGGATGATGTTCAATTGCTGGCTCCCTCATAAAGGGTACTCTCAGTGTTTCTCCATTTAAGTCAAGTTATATAGACTGGGAGATAGCATGTACGGTGCACTCCTAAGACCTTTCTCCACTTTCACGGTATTCATAAGGCCTACCTGGGTTGTAAAGATTCTGTTGCAGAATCAGAGCAGACATTTGGTTAAAGGTTTTTCCACATTCTTTGCATTCATAAGGCCTTTCAGGTCTGTGAAATCTTCAGTGATGAATGAGATTGGAGGTGTGGCTAAAGGCTTTCCCACATTTTTTGCATTCAAGACTTTTCTCCAGTGTGAACTTTCTGGTGTTGAATGAGGTTGAAACGCTGGCTAAAGGATTTCCCACAATTGCTGCACTCATAAGGCATCTCTCCAGTGTGAATCCTCCGATGTTTAACAAGACTGGAGCTGTGGCGAAAAAACTTTCCACATTCTCTGCACTCATAAGGCCTTGCTCCAGTGTGAACTCTCTGATGCTTAACAAGGCTGGAATTCTCACTAAAGAATCTCCCGCATTCATTGCACTTAAAAGGCTTTTCTCCAGTGTGAACTTTTCGATGTTGCATGAGGCTAGAGCTTTGGCTGAAAAACTTCCCACATTCACTGCACTCATACGGCCTTTCGCCAGTGTGAACTCGCCAATGATTAATAAGGCTAGACTTGTGGCTATAGAATTTCCCACATTCACTGCACTTATAAGGTCTTTCTCCAGTGTGGACTCTCTGATGTTTCATAAGGCTGGAGTTGAAGCTAAAGAATTTCCCACATTCGCTGCACTCATAAGGCCTTACTCCAGTGTGGATTCTGTGATGCTGAACAAGTGTAGAATTATGCCTGAAAGCTTTTCCACACTCATTGCATGTAAAAGGCTTTTCTCCGGTGTGAACTCTCTGGTGTTGAATGAGGTCAGCATTGCGGCTAAAGGATTTTCCACATTCGTTACACCCATAAGGCCTTTCTCCAGTGTGAACTATTTGGTGTATGAAAAGGTTGGATTTATGGCTAAATAATTTCCCACATTCACTGCATTCGTAAGGCTTTTCTCCAGTGTGTAGTCTCTGGTGCTGAACAAGTAAATATTTCTGACCAAAGGCTTTCCCACATTCACTGCATTCGTAATGCCTTTTTCCAGTGTGAAAGGCCTCCCCACTTTCGATGCTCCTGTGTGACTCCCCTCCACTGTGAGTCACCTGGTGCTTGTGAAGACCCACGCTGGTCGGGAAGTCCTTCCCGTCCTCTCTGCTGTGGAAGGGCTTCTCTGACAGGTGGACTCTGCAGCTCCTTAAAACCGGGACCCACCCTCCTTCTCTTTTTAAGAGTTTCTCTGTACAGTGCAGCTGCTGGTATTGGTAAACGTGTGAACCGAGCACTGCTTCTACAGAAGCACTCTGCTCAGAAGGCATCTCCTTAGCCTCCACTCCATGCCAACAACCTGCAAGCAGAGAAATGCTGACGTAGACTTTGATGTGAGGAGACAGCCCCCTCACTAATATGTGTCTGACACCTCCAGTAAGGAGTTCCTGGGATGGCTGGCAGAACAAGGAGTCAGGGTGGGGAAGGACCCACTGTGCAGTGCTGAACCTGGTAAGCTCACAGACTGGGGGGCCTCATGAGCATTAAGGATGCAAGGATGGGGTGCCGCACAGAGAGGGGAGGCAGGGTCCCCAACACACTCCTGCAAATGGCTTTCTGCAGGGCCTTGGCTGCTGGGGACACAGGACACAGTGCAAAAAGGGGTGTCCAAGCCCAGAAAAACCAACTACAACTGAATAGCTGGTGTTCGAGGACTATCCAAGGATAACTGCACACCTCACGACACATTTAGTGAAAGCCACTGCCAGAGGGTGTTGCAGAGGAAGGGGTGAGACATGGGGGGCAGAGAAATGGGGACAGACCTGGGTCAGAAAGCAGAACAGAAGTGGTAAGTAAGCAACTGAGGAAGAAAAGATGGAAATCAGCGGTGGCCCCTTGCTTTGGCATCAAAACGCCAAGGACCACTGGAAAGACTCCTGGTATGATTTGAACCCATCCCTGAGTCCATCTCTCTCTAAGCTCCACCCTCCAAGTACCTTTTGGCAAGGCTGGAGCCAGGAATCCCCAGGCAGGCATGAAGGGCTCTCCCCATGACTCCAGTTGGATTATTTCATGGCTCCTGGAAGATGCAAGTCCTAAGGGAGACAGGACAGGTAAGTGGCCAGCACTGGGTCAGAGTGACCCATCCTACAACAGACCACAAGAAAGAAAATTAAACAGTACAAAAAGAACTTGGAGAAGGGTCTTGCAGGAACAACCCAGTTAAACTGATCACGTCACTGTCTCAATCCTGGCACAGACAGACCCTGAGGTATGTTGGCGAGAGGACGAAGGCAGAACCTGGGCACAGAACTGCCACAGATCTGCACAGCATAACCAGGCCATGGAGAGGCCAACAGGATGAGATCCACTAGGCTGACTGCAAGATTCTGGACGCCCAAACCCATTACTGCATGGCTTTGGGGCAGCTCAGGGAGAGAAGGCAACAGTGTTACAGCACAGGCCTATCCGTTACAACACCTACTTCAGGACAGTGGGGAAGGAAGCAGTGTCTATCTATGGGAAGGACAGACCTGTCTCTAGGAAAAGGAGGAAGAACAGAGCCCAGCCCAGGATGCTGGTGTTGGGTATGAGGGCCTTACCCAGAGAGGCAGTAAGTGCAAAGTTCTCCAGCATCACACTGCGGTACAGGAGCCTCTGAGCTTCGTCAAGCAGTTTCCACTCCTCCTGGGAGAAGCAGACGGCCACGTCCTCAAAGGTCACATGGCCCTACCAAGGTAGGGAAAGTTGAGTTCATATGCAGCCTCCTTCCCTAGGATTCTAGGCATCCCCCAAACACACACCCCTGCTCACCATCCTCCCCATGTCTCAACCACAGATACTGTAACAGATCCCAGGGCCACTGATACCCACTCTCTCCTCAGGTACCATTGGTCACTGTGTCCTCCCACAGCAACAACCGGCAGGTGGGCAGATATCTAAGCTCTGAGCCTGGCATGTAGGGCCACACCCCTCTTTTCAGGCAGTTCCCCTGAGGTCCCCTAGATCCTTCATCTCAGGTACAACCATTATTGTTTTCCACTGAGAAGCCTCTGGAAAACTTTGAGAAACAGATCGAGTCCCTCCTCTGTTTCCAACTCTCTGTGGCCCAGCAGCGCCCGCAGAATGAAGGCCCTGCTCGGGCTGTGGTTGCACGCGTGCTCCGTCCCCTGACAAGCTGTGCACCTGACACCGGGCAAATCTCGGGTTCAGGGCCGCGGACTATGGACTGTGGGCTCAGAACGCCCGAGCCTCGACACTGGCCGGCCGCCTGTCGCACTGGGTGTCGGAAACAGGACCCCGTCCACAAGCGCCCACAGTTTTGGACCCAGGGTCCTGAGCAGGCGGCCTCCGCAGGGCTTGAGGACTGGGGTGAGGCCCGGGGCGGGTGAGCACCGGAGGACGCAGCACTTACCAGAGCCGGGTCCCTCAGCACGGCGGCCGCCATCGGACTCTGGGACCGGAGCGGGGACAGGAGGACGACCGGGAGGGCACCCGGCTCACCCCGGGCGCCGCCGCCGAGGCTCAGAACCCGCTCTCCCAGCCCTCGGTTCAGATTAACCTGTGAAGAGCCGCTAAATGGATCGCCGCTAACCCGGCGCCGGACGTCCCGCCCAGTGCGTGGAAACGCCCGTTTCCATTGGCCGAGCGCCCCGCCGCACGGCGCAGCGTCTTCTGGGTAATGTAGTTCCGCAGCTCCAAACTTCAGAAGCCGCCAAAGCTGCGGAGACCGAGCTGAAGAAGACAGGGCACGGAAGAGCTGCTGGACTCGTGCAGAGACGGTCGTTATTGCAGATGTGCCTGGATTTCAGTTTTCCCTGAGCAGCTGCTGCTCCACTCTTTCCTCCGCTTGAAGGACTTGAAGAGAGTAAAGTGGTTTCTTTGGGCAGAACCGTGTATACGTCACCAAATTTCCCTTGGCCAGGGAACGCCCAATTTTAAAAGTCCACGGTGGCGACGCAATGTCTGATGTGTGAGAATAAGAAAAGGCTCTGAATTATGGATGTGGGCGGTGAGAGACTCGGGGATCTCAAGAATTCACTTTCCTCCTTCGCCCGACGCTCATTTTTTTCCCTTTCTCTTCTCAAGGACTCAATGTTGGTGTTCAGGCAGGACAATAGGCCTCCCACCCACAGCCAGCATTCCTCTCGCCCAGATTTCTCCCCTTCGTGCCTTCCTACTCCATGTTCCCACTGCCTTTCCACTTCCGAGTGCAAAGTCAACTCCCCACAGGTGGGTAGAGTGGGGGACTGTTGCTGACAACAAGCAGCTGTTGATAAAAGATGCCAACCCTTTACTATATGTTGTCCCACTACAGCCCCTACCGTTTACTGCTGTCCTTTTGTGTCAATCTCCTTCTCCCGATTCTTCTCCTATCCCTTCCATCTGTGGGCTGAGCAATGACCAACTTCATCACAGCCTTGGGGCGACTCACAAGGGCAAAAGGTGATGAAGCATTCCTTCCTTCTTGGGACTTTCTGAAACTAGGTGTTCAGTACTAGCTGAGTCTGAAAAGGAGGAGGTGAGTCAATATTGGGGTTGACGATGTGATAGGATAGAGAGAGACCCAAGTTCTTTGTCACTTCCACAGTGGCCATGGTGTTTGTATTCAGCATTAGTTATTTTAGTCAGGCCATGGTATGGCACATGGAAGAGAGGGGAGGAGGAGGGTGAGGAGAGACGGACCCACTGACAGGATTGGGGCAAGGTGTAGAGGAACTTCCCCCCATTAAGCCAAGGACAGGAAGAGGTGTCTCACTTCCTTGAGAACACCCCTTAGAAAAGTAGATTCTGGATTATTTACCTAACAGATTTTGGGTAAGTCATGAAAATGAGCTGACCACCATGACATGAACTTCTGTGGATGAATCTAATAAACATATTACAGAATCTAGTCCTGCATACAGTATAATATAATCTATAGAAAATTCAAAATCTGGCAATAAGAAACAGTATATCATTTAGGGAAACCTACATAGGTGGCAAAATTAAAGACATCAACAGAATGGTTATCAAAATGATTAACAAAAATGTCATGCAAGTGTCAGCTCTAGGAGGGGTGTCAGGCAGGCGGGAGATGTGAGGAGAGAGGATGCCTAACAAAGTATGTTTTATCATGGATGGTTGTTCACAGATGTATCTTTTTAAAAATTTTACTATAATTATTTTATTGGGCAGCCCCCTGAACCAGAATAGGTTCAGAGAGAATCCCAGATGTGGTTTCTATTAAAAAACAAACTGTATACCTCTAATGAACATTCTACTGAATGTGTGACAGTTTTAAAACAAATAAAGAAAAAGTTTATGTAAACAGTTTAATTTTGTCACAGGAATCGTTGAAAGACTAAAACAAATTCATATATATGTGAAATGCAAATAACATGATCAGTGAGGAAAGAACAGACTAATTATGTAGTTTAGGTAAAATTCATTTATATCTCATTGAATTCGCAAAATAACTTCCATGCGGATACTTTCAAAATAAAACAACATATTCTGTATCTATAGGTTTTTTCTGTAACCTTTGGAATTCATTTTTATTTCTAGCCTTTAGGAATATTTCTATGTCTATAAAGAGTGGGAACACTAAAGTTTGAAGCCAAGGTCCTACCTTTTACCAGATCTCCTTAAGGGCTGGAGACCACACTCTTCAGTGTTTTGGAAGCCTAATTTACCCAAGAGAACGTAAGAGGCAGATGCTCCTCAGAGCCCAGTTACAGGTCAAGCTTCAACACATGAGCTGCTTCAGGGAATGAGGGAGGGCTGAGGTCTACGACCGACCAAGCAGATTTTGTTGAGAATTTCCTGGATTCCCCAAGATTAGAGCTTAATGGAATGATCCACCACCCAGAAGCTCTGGAAATTCTGGGCTTCCACTGGATATGGCCATCTGGTCCTTAGACACTTGAAGTCAGGACCCCTCTGCTAGAGAGCCAGAACTAACTTGCCATCTGAACTATTTTTAGAAGGAAAAGTGGACAGGGAGGTGAGACTATAGAATGGCGAAATAGAACTATCTCCCCAGGGAGAGAGGGACCTGATATTTCAGAGCGGCAGTTCTGCTCCACAACAGGTAAGCAGCTCCGTGACCTATTACTACCCAATCACAGTCTTACACCAGAAGACACCATCCCATGCAGATGTTGCCTTGGTGACCAAGCACTATTCTGAAGCTCCAGTGGAATCAAGTAACCAAGGATCACCAACCACCAAGAGTACAGCTATTTCTGACTGCCATAACCCTCTCCTTGCTCCCACAGGCATCCCAGCTTTCATACTTATCTAGATTTCTTTGCTCTACTGAACACTGATTCACCAAAAAATGACTAAAAATACTCAAAGAAAGTTATCTACACATACCAGCCAAATACACTAAAGTCTCTCCTCTGAGGCCAAATCTTGAAAATATTGGTCCAGTTTTGTGGAATTTGCTCAGTCCACACTCTGTCTGTCTGAAAACTGGACCTAGAATGGAACAAAAAAGTGAGAAGTTGTTGTAAATATGGTGGTAAAAATAATGGATGCAGAAAAGGGACAATATGAGGGAAGAGTGGTTGAATCAAGGAAAGAGTTGAAAATGTTTATAAATGGAGGGCTGGAGACATTGTTCTTTCAAATGGGCTAAATGTGAGTGGCTTTTATGGAGGTGAAAATTAAGAAAAATGAGAAAGACAAATCCATGACAAAGCCAAGTTTAAAATATTCAGGTAAAAGGCAGAGCAAGTTCCAAAGAGATCAGGTGAGAAAAAACTTGGCGAGTTGGAGTAACAGGAAGGAGGACATAGTAGCTGGAGCAGGTGATGGGGAAAGGAGCAATGTAAGAAACTGGATGTGATTGTGCATTCAGTGCTCAGTTACCAGCTCTCTCCTATCCCATGCCACATTCAAATCAATTCTTCCCCTTACTCCTGGCCCCAGGATCATGGATGTGATTTGTGCCTCCTTGGAGTTTAAGGGGCACACTTTCCAGAGTCATGTAAATGGAATCCAACAGTATGCAGCCTTTTCCAGTCTGGCTTCATTCACTTAGTGTAATGCATTTGTGATTCACCTTTGTTTTGTGTATTAATACTTCATTCTTTATACTTCTGACTAGTCTTCCAAACTACGTGCCATACTTGTTAATCCATTAATTTGTTATGGACTTTTTCTGTCAGAAACTGTAGGTTAATAATAAAACCAACATATATTTGCCTCAGGAATTTTTTTTTTGATCACAGGTTTTCATTTCACTTGGGTAAATACCCAAGAATTGGATTGATGGGTCACATGGTAAGTGTATGTTTAATTTTAAAAGAAACCATTTTCTGTGATAATTGTATAACTTTGCATTCCCACCAGCAGTGTATGAGTTTTCCAGTCCTCTGTATCCTCACTAATACTTAGTATGGCCAGCGTTTTAAATTTTAGCTGATCCAATGGATACATAGCAGTATCTCATGCTGGTTTTAAATAGCATTTTCCCCAGGACTAATGATGTTGAGCAACTTTACATGCACTTATTTGAAATTCGTATAATTTCTCCGTGGAAATGTCTGTTCAATCTTTTACTTATTTTTTATTAAGTTGTTTATGTTGGTTTTTGTTTTGTTTTGTTTTTTGTTTTTTTGATAGAGTCTTGCTGTGTCGCCCTGAATAGAGTGCAGTGACATGATCATAGCTCACTGCAACTTCAAACTCCTGGGCTCAAACTCCTGTCTCAGCCTCCCAAGTAGCTAGGACTATTGGCGAACACCACGACACCCAGCTAATTTTTCTATTTTTAGTAGAGATGGGGTCTCATTCTTGCTCAGGCTGGTCTCGAACTACTGAGCTCAAGCGAGCCTCCCATCTCCTCCTCCCAGAGTGCAAGGATTACAGGCTTGAGTCACCTCGCCCGGCCTGCTTGTTGTCTTAGTATAGAATTTTGAGATTTATTAAAATATTCTGCATTCAAGTCACCCAGGTATGTGATTTGCAAATACTTTCTCCCAGTCTTTGGCTCATCCTTTCATCCTATTAATAGGTCTTTTAAAAACCATAAAATCTTAATTTTGAGGAAATCCAATTTATCAGTTTTTCTCTCACAGTTCTATTTTTGGTTTTATATCTAAGAAATATCTGCTTAACATGACCACAAAGATTTTCCTCTGTGTTTTCTTTTAGAAGTGGTACAGTTTTTTTTTTTAATTTGTGCTTTTGGGCTGTGACTCATTTTGAGTTAATTTTTTTAACATTCCAAGTCTTTTCTCTTCTAGCTTGAAAAGTATATATGCTGATTCTGTTTACTATATTTAAGCTAGAAATTACAAACATTTAATACATTAGAGTACTGTATAGTGTTGTAAATACATTTACTTTCCATTTGGAAATATAAAAGATTTAAAACATTGAGCAATGTCTCCTTTCAATTCATATTTTACTGAGATTATGCATGGGTATTCCATCGTTCTAACTACATAAGGAGATATATTTATGTTTTACACAGTGATGAGCAATCATTTCAATCAAAAGATGCACCTCTCTTCATCTTCATTCCTTTTCTCATTGCAAACCTTTCACCTGAGATCAAACTTCTTTGGCCTTGAGTATTAAGAAATTTATTTTCTGTGTAAATATATAAAACCAAATTGTAACCCAGCCATGGCCGGAAAGACCACTTAACTTGATCCAGGCTTGTTGGGTGTTGCTCTCTGGGCCATGGTCGCACACGTTTGGCTCAGAACAAACCTCTTTAAATTATTTTACGGAGTTTGGATTCTTTTTCATTGACACCTCCTGACATCCCTACTCCATGTTCCACATTGTGGTTATGTCTGGAGTCTTTTCTCTCTTGTGCTTGACCTAAAATGCTGAAGCTCACAAAACTAGAGCTTCAGGCTTCATGTGTTTAGAAAAAACATGATATTTGTTAACTTCCAGCTAAAGAAGTCTGAATGACATTAGCGTATAATGTGTTCGTATGATTTTTTTGGTGATCATTCTTTGCATAAGGAAGCTTGAAATAATGCCTGTGAACATTTCTGTGATATGTTACAGACTGCATTCACCAGAATTCGCCGCTCCTTTAAGAGGAAGGTCCATCTACTCCTTAGAAACTCTAGACGCTCTTTCCAGGCTCCCCTAGCGGTGTGGCAGGGCGTTTGCCCCAGCGGTCGCGCGGAATCCCGCTCTCTGTCGTTGGTGCTGTGTGAACTACATTTCCCAGCAGCCTTGGCGGCCCTGAGCCAATGAAGGCCCAGGGAAGGGGCGTTTCCCCCCTTGGGTAAGACTTCGGGGTGGGACTTCCTGTCCCCTTTCAGGAGGACATTTTATTTGCTTTCCGATTAATCCCCCAGATCCGTCTCTGGAATACAGTGTCAGACCCGCGGTGACAGGAAAGGGAAAAAGAGAGAGAAGACGCTGTCCTCCCTGAAAAGAGGCAGGCCCGAGGCTCGGCGGTGGTGCTGCCGAGTGACCCGGCTGCTGGCCGGGCCCTGGACGGCGGATCCCTTGTTCCCGTACTTGTCTCCCCTTTTGCCTAGTCCGCGGGCCGATGGCGGCAGCCAAGTTGATGGGCCCGGCGCAGGTGGGTGCGTCCCTGGGGCCTCGCCCTGACCTCCATCTCTGAATCCTAAAGGGCTCCTTGGGTTACTGCAGCCCAGGCCCCCGCGTCCAGGACAGTTGGGTCCCATTTCTGGCGGCCAGTACGGTGAGTTGTGTAAGGTCGTTGTGGGCAGAGGCACCAGTCCATGCAAAGGTTTAGCGGTGCGACGCAGGCGGAGCATTCAGGAAAACTGGGTCTTTGGTACCTGAAAAGATGGGGATGTGCGAAAAGTAGTCACACCTGGAATGTCAACCTTAGCATCTGGGTGTCTATTCTGAGGGTGATGGGAGCCATGGAAGGTTCTGAACAAATGAGAGACACGATCTGAGAGTTTAAAAAGTATTCCATACATCGCTCAGGGGAGAACTGACTTGGGTTGGTCATGGGGGAGCGGGTATGATGATGATGGTGAGGCATAATTAAGATTGAGAACTAGTCCGAGGCAACACGGTTGTTAAGAGGTGGCCCTGAAGACTGAGGCACAGAGGGTAGACAGCCCCAGGTCACTTTGTAACAGGGCAGGAATATGGGATAGGCCTGAACCTTTGGGGCTCCTTCATGGTTGCTCGTCTCTCACGGTTTCCCTCTTCCCACAGGTTCCCGGGATCTCAGAAGTAATTATGGACCCTATACAGGTGAGGGGAGAATGTCCATGCTCTCACTGATCCCACTTCCCACCTCCCACCCCCACCCCACACAGTCTCTAGGACTGTTGTCATATAGAATGCTTTCCTGCTACTCTCTGATCCTTTGGGTCTAGGAACCCTGGAGAAACCCCAAGCCCAGGGTCCCAGGCCCAGGCCAGGGGCTATATGGAGGGATTTCCTTTTCTAGCAGCCATTGGAATAAGGGTGGAAGGTTGCTTCAGGCTCAGGAGCCAGCTTGTGCAAATACTTGGAGGTGAGACTGAGATTTGGAATTTTCAAGGAGCGGCAGGGCTCTGCCACCTCTGAGAGGAACTAAGAGCAGGGGGGCAGGAGTCAGGCCTGAAACAACTGGCTGAGGAGGTAGAACTGTATTCTGAGAGTGGTCCGACCAGGTGAAGTGTGGAGCAGAGGAGGGATGTGGTCTGACCCAGGTCTTAATGGCCTCCTCTTGTTGCCAAGTGGAGAACAGGTGGTATGCAGTGAGGCTTATGATGGAGGCAGGGAGACCAGGGGGGAGGCTACTACAACATTCCAGATTAGTGGAGATAATGGATAGGCCAGAGGAGTGGCTTTGTAGATAGGATAAGTGATTGGATCAGATTTACTGATGTGAGAGAAAAAGAGGTAACCCGAAGGTTTTTGGCCTTATGAGCTACTGTTGACTTGTCCATCTATCAGTAGAGATAGGCAAGTCAGTGGTAGAAGTAACTTTCAGTGTGGGCATCAAGAGTTTATTTGTGGCCATGTGAAGAGTCTGAGATGTTCCAGAGAACACTGAGCGGAGGTGTCAAGTGGGCTGCACGGCACATACAATTGGAGTTCTGTAGAGGAGTTCAGGATGAAGACGATTGTGTAGACTGGAGTTTAGAAGAGAGAATATTCACATCACAGTGGCGGTGCAATTAGTAAGCCAGGAAGGTGATGGTGGAGGCCACCGACTGGATGGAGGGCTCGAGTTGTGAGACAGATGTGACCTCAAGAGTGATGTCCATGTGGAAAAAAAGTGTGTACTGATGGCCCCTGAGCTTAAGGGAGAAAAGTGAGCCCAACTTTGGTTGTCTGGTAAGCATGATCTTAGCAACTCCAGAGGAATTAGCTGGCAGAAAGGTGGTAGAAGTAACTTTCAGTGTGGATATCAGGAGTTTAGCAACTCAAGGGAGGGGCCATGTGTCCTATGCCTAGAGTTGAGTTGGTGCTTTCCTGCCCACTTGCCTATGGTTGCTGTGGGTGGACGCAGTGATCAATGTGACCATGAGGAGAGAGAAGACACCAATGACACCCAGTCCTGGTATTTCCTCCAAGCTGAAGAGTGAGGTAGGAGGGCGTACAGGTAGATATGTGGAGCATGCGGGGGGGTCCTTGGGAGAGAGGCTGCTCATTGACTTGGCTTTCTCCACTGTGGCAGGGACAGGTGAACTTTGAGGACGTGTTTGTGTACTTCTCCCAGGACGAGTGGCAGCTCCTGGATGAGGCTCAGAGGCTCCTGTACCGTGATGTGATGCTGGAGAACTTTGTACTTATGGCCTCACTGGGTAAGGCCATCACACCCACCCCAGTGTCCTGGACTGGGCCCTGCCCTTCCCTGTTTTCTCAGGGTGGCCTTGTATTTCTTACATAAGAGCCATGGGCACTACCTCCTTCCCCAGTTCCTGGAGTAGGTGCTGTGGATATGGGGCCTGATCCTTGGCTGTGTGCACTGCTGCCTCCCGTTCCTGAGCACTCTGAATGCCTGCTGTCCCATAGCAGGCTTCCATGGATGAATCCAGGAGTCAAGTATCCTGTAGTTGGCCCAGTAGAGCATATTTATCTTGACCTTTCCCTGACTGGATGCCTCTGTCCATATTCATGGCACTTCTGTACCTCAGTTTTCTGCCGCTTTCCTTTAGCTGCCATTTCCTGTGACCTGCCTGTGCCAGGAATTGTGTAAGAACGATTATGGTTATTGCTTGCTGAGACTACTGGGCCATTCCTGCAAGACCCTACTTCGAGATTATTTTTATAATATTTAGTTTTCTTCTCTGTGGGGTGGGTCACCGAGACCAGTGCTGGCCGTTCACCTATCCTGTATGTCCCTTAGGACAGGCATCTTCCATGTCTCATGTAATTGCCTCACTGGAGCAGGGCAGTGAGCCCTGGGTACCTGATTGGGTGGACGTGACTCCAGCCATTGCCAGAGGGACTCTAGGTGAGAGTGGTCCTGGTGAGTAGGAGCTGGGGAAAGGGGTGACATCAGGGTTGGGTTTAAATCATTCTATAACCTCTCTGTGCCCACAGTTGTTTTTGTGCCAAGGCCACTGGTCACACTTTCTTTCTGTCCACTTACCCATTTACATACTTGCCTTTTATGCTCTGACCTTTGGCCTTTGGCTATTACACACCTCTGCCTCCGGGTCTCACCTGTTGCTCTCCACTTCTCCCTCTGCAGTTCTCTCCAGCATGGGCCTATACTTAATGTGTCATGAGATGTGCACGTAACCAAAGTACTTCTTAAACACCAGATACTCAGTAGCAATTTGATTTTCTTGGGCACGGATATACCTTCTGCACAGCTCTCACCTGTCCCCAGCAGCAAGGAAATCCGATTGTGAATGACTTTATTGAAGACCTTGCCTCTTTTTCCTGTTCTGTATCCCACAGTCGTGTCCTTTCCCAGTCAAGGCCTCCTCCATTCTATGACCTTTAGAAACCAGCTATTGCACAGCAAACCTTCACTCAACTTGAACATGGGCCCCTTGTCCTGACAGCAGTCCTATGACCTTGATCTTAGTTGTGTTAGACACATGTTTGTGGTGAGGATGGCTGCCTCCCATCTGCGTCAATATTTCACAGCATCTCTTTGCTTTCAGGTTGTCATGGAATGGAGTATGAGGAGATACCTTTTGAGCAGAGCATTTCTAGAGAAGGATGGTCACAGATGAGGACTCCCAAGGAAGGCTTTTCTGCCAAGAAGGTTCACACCTGTGAGACATGTGGCCTGGTCTTGAAGGACATTTTGCACTTGGCTGAGCATCAGGAGACATACCCTGGGCAGAAACCGTATAAGTGTGTGGCGTGTGGGAAACAGTTCTGGTTCAGTACAAACCTTCACCAGCACCAGAAGCAGCACAGTGGAGAGAGACATTTCAGAAGAGGTGACAGCAGGGCCTTTAGTGTTAACAGCTGCCCTGTCCAACCATCAGAGATGCCTTTTATGACAGGGGAGGGCTGTAAGGACTTCTCAACCAGCTCAAGCTTTTTCCAGCACCATGCGCCTCACAGTGAGTGGAAGCCACACGGTAATACCAAGGGTGAGGAGGCCTTTCACAGTGGACAAAGACATTACAAGTGCAGTGAATGTGGGAAAGCCTTTAGCCGCAAAGACTCACTTGTTCAGCACCAGAGAGTCCACACTGGAGAAAGGCCTTATGAGTGTGGTGAATGTGGGAAAACCTTTAGCCGCAAACCTATACTTGCTCAGCATCAGAGAATCCACACTGGAGAAATGCCTTATGAGTGTGGCATATGTGGGAAAGTTTTTAACCATAGCTCTAACCTTATCGTACACCAGAGAGTACACACTGGAGCAAGGCCTTACAAGTGCAGTGAATGTGGGAAAGCCTACAGCCACAAATCCACACTCGTTCAGCATGAGAGTATTCACACTGGAGAAAGGCCTTATGAGTGCAGTGAATGTGGGAAATACTTTGGTCACAAATACAGACTCATTAAACACTGGAGCGTTCACACTGGAGCAAGACCTTATGAGTGCATTGCATGTGGGAAGTTCTTTAGCCAAAGCTCTGACCTCATTGCACACCAAAGGGTTCATAATGGTGAAAAGCCTTACGTGTGCAGCGAATGTGGAAAAGCCTTTAGCCACAAACATGTACTTGTTCAACACCATAGAATTCACACAGGAGAAAGGCCATATAAGTGCAGTGAATGCGGAAAGGCCTTCAGGCAAAGGGCTTCCCTCATCCGCCATTGGAAAATTCACAGTGGAGAAAGGTCTTAGCATAGGAAATATGCCATCTCCTTGTTCAACACGACTCACACCACAGAGAAGCTTCAAGAGTAGCTGTGTGTAGCCATCAGCCAGAAGTTGAACTTCATACATTCGAACATGTACCCTGAGGAGATTCTTCTGAATGCCAGCTATGTGGGAAGCATTCTGGGGCTGTGTTGCACTTTCTAAACTGCCCAGGACCCTTGACGGAGTTATATCACTGCCAGTGCCTCTGACAGAAGCCATCTATCTTTGCACTGTTCGAGTCCTGCACGTGTATAAGTCACCTCAGCATGCTTCACAAGGCAGATCTCTGTACTTGTCCTTCCCTTGCAGGGATTGTCAGTAGTCTGAGCCCATTGAGGATTCTCATGCCCTCCTTCCCCCCTGGCTGGTTTAAGCATGAATGTGATGAGCGTGACCCAGCTTTGTCCAGGAGGATGGGATCTTTGTTCTGCTGGCCACTTGTAGAGAAAGTTTCCATTCTTCATGGACTTTGTTGGTCTCATACGGCACTCGTGGTGGATTTATCCAGCCTCTAAGATATCTAACCTCCAATTACCTGCCTCATGTTGTTCTGGTTTTGCAACAGATGCCTTAATTTTTAGACTACCTTTAATCTTGGGGATTCTGTTCACTTTATGGGTTGGATTGAAAACAGAATCGAGCTAAGCCAATAGGAAGGGATGACCAGCTTTCGTGAGAGCTGCAACGATTTGTGTCTCAGAGATGATAGTAGGGTGGCAAAGAATAGCTCTTGTTCTAGTGTCAGCATAACTTGCATTGCTGCTTAAACTCTCTTCGGGAAGAATACCAGTCTTCATGGGCCTAATCTTGTGGTCGATACGCCAAGATTATTTGTGTGACTGAGGTCACCCTAAACATTGGGTGTGTGTTGTGACAATCTCCAGAGTATCTCAGAGCAACAAGAATTGAGTCCCTTGTTTCCAGAGGATTTTTCATATTCCCCAGGCCTCTTGAGTAGACCTTGATCCCCTGGGACCTGCCCAGATTCCTGGTTTGTTATTCAATAGGAAGATGTTACTGGCTGTCCTCTAAAAGGCCCAGAGAGGAATCATAATTGGTACAGAGACACTGATTAATAGGGAGTTGGGGAACTGCAGCAAACGATGGGGAACTGACCCTTCTAAAGGTATATCCACACGTTTCCATTACTATGGCTTTGTTATTAGGGTTTACATAAATTCTCAGGACTCCTATACCTGTGTCTCCTATGGCTAAGGTCACTGTCAGAACAGTTAATCTAAATATTTTCTGCAATAAACTGTACATATTTGTAGTGTATGGTTTGATAAGTTTTGATACACATTTGTACCTGTAATACCAAAATTTTCCTGATTCCCTTTATAATCTCTCCCTCCCTCTCACCTATCCCTAGACAACTACTGATCTGCTGTCACTGTAGTTTTGTTTGCATTTCCTAGAATTTTATATGTAGAGAGTAATTTAATATGTACTCTAATGTATTTGGTTTCTTTAACTGTATATAATTATTTAGTGATTCATCTTGTTCTGTGTTTCAGTAGTTTATTTCTTTTCATTTGTACTTTTGCTAGGGGTATTCCACTGTAAAAAAATAGTTCCAATAATATGCTGAAATAAAAAAAAAAGAAAAATAGTTCCAAAGCAAGTGATCCAGGAGAGAACTCATATAATAACCAACCCACAGTCATTCCCTAAACATGAAAGTGATGTGCCCTCATTTCTGATATATTCTATAGGCAACTCTGACTAATTCCAGTAAAAGGTGGAAGGGAGCCATACAAAGGTAAAAAATATAAGGAGATAGGACTTTGTAGGGAGTTTTCTTGGACTCTGGTGACCATAATCATATGTGTTTTTCTTTACTTTTTTCAGCCTTTTAATGGTGAATTATATTGACTGATTTTCAAATGTTAAACCAACCTTGCATTTCTCTGATAATCCCCATTTGGTCATGATGTATTATTCATTTAATGTATTGTTGAATTTTTTTTTCTTTTTTGAAGATTTTTGCATCTATGTTCATAAAAGACTTTAGTGTCTGATTTTCTTTAATGCCTAGATTTGGCTTTGGTATCAGCATAATCCTGGCTTTACGTAATCAGTTGGGAAGTATTTCTTGCTCTTTAAGAAATGCTCTCTCTGGAAGAGTTTGTGAAGAATTCTTCACAATTGGCTTTATGTCTTTAAATGTTTGGTAGACTTCACCAGGGATGCTATCTGGGCCTGGAATTTGTTTTGTGGGAAAGTTTCTAACTACAAGTTTAACTTCCATGGCAGATAGAGGGCTGTACAAGTTATATGTACGTTTGTCCATCTTGTCTATTTATCTACTTACCTATCTATTTTCTGTCTCTAGAATGAGCTTTGATTGTTTTTGTCAAAAAGTTTGTCCACTTCATTTAAGTAGTCACATTTTTCAAAATATTCTCTCATTATTATTTTAATACCTGTAGAATTCAGGTAATGATGCCACCTGTCTTATTCCTGATACTGGTAGTGTCTATATTTCTCTTTTAATCCTGATTGGTTTAACTGTGGAGATTCATCAATTTTGTTGATGTTGTTAAAGCACTTGGTTTCATTAATTTCTGTGCTTTGTTTCTTTCTTTTTTCCCCATTCTGACCTTTACTATTAGCTTTTGGTTTTATTGGATTTCATTTCTCTTCTTTTGTTGTTTTTTAACATGGAAGCCAGGGTCCTTCATTATCATATCATTTGTTTGTCCTTATAGATCACTATTTGTCTGATGTTCAGTGTATTGAGAATCAGTTTCATATGCTTTGTTATTTCATTTAGTTTTTCGTTTTCAAGAAAATTTACGAACCTCTGAATCGGGTACTCTGAATAAATTAGTAAAATTGATACACCTCCAGCCATGTCAGAGAAAAAGACAAAAATCACATATTACAAATAGGAGCAAGGAAAGATGGTATAGTACTAGATACTTTGAAACATCATAAATAATGTGATTATTTTAAACAGCTCTTTCTCAATAAATTGAAATTTAGAGAACAAAAGTTTCCTGAAAGATACCAACCAACCAGGATTACTCAAGAAGAAATAGATAATCTGAAAAATCCTCTGTTAAAGATATTTAACAGAGGATTTAGTATTTTCAGACTGCTAGTAGTACAAATCTGGGTGTAAATGTAAGAAGCCTTCCTACTGAAAACTTCAGACCAAGATGGCTTCACTAATGAATTCTACCAAATATGTAATGAACATATAATTCATACTCTATCAAACTCTTCCAGAAAAATAATAAGGATGGAACACTTCTCAACTAATTGTGTAAAGCCATTATTACCCTGCTAGCAAAACCAGGTGGTGATACTAAAAGAAAACCACAGACCAATATTCATGAACGTAGAGGCAAAAAAACCTTAACAAAGTTTTAGCAAATTAAATCTGACACATATATATGGAGAGAGAGAGAGAGACAGACAATAAGTTATATACTAGGGATTAGGAACATAAGGTAGGTTTAATGATTGAAAATCTATTAATCTATGTTAAATAGAAGGTATAGTATAATAAAGAATATATATAGGACTTTGTCCCAGGTTCTTGGCACACAGTTTCAGAATTCTTGGAATTCTTTGAGTGAGAGGAATGTCTTTTTAAGAATATGTATTTATTTGTTTCGTGTGTATACATACATAAAGAAAGAGACATGGGGTCTTGCTGTGTTGCCTAAGCTGGAGTTCAGTGGCTGTTCGCATGCATGATCCCACTGTTGACCAGCACGGGAGTTTTTACCTACTCCATTCCCAGCCTGGGCCAGTTCACTCCTCCTTAGGTAACCTGGTGGTTCCTGCCTCAGCCTCACAAGTAGCTGGGACTACGGGCATGCACCTGGCAGGAATGTCTTATACTAAAGAGGTGCTTCATGGTGGGCCCCTAAAAAATTTTTGAATGGGGACTGGTCACTAGAATGACTAACCTTGTAGTTAGAGGATTGAAACTTTTAGCCAGATTCATTTTTGGATAGAGGAGAGGGGCCAGAGATTGAATTTAGTCATGTGATTGTGATTTAATTAATCATGACTACAAAATGAGACCCTAGATCAAAATTGGACACAGGCTTCGTGGAGTTTCCTGGTTGGTGAACACTGGTGTACCAGGAGGGTGAGGTGCCTCGACTCTGTAGGGAGAGGGAATGAAAGTTTCACATCTGGGACCCTCCCAAACTTTGCCCTATGCATCTTTTTCATTTGGCTATTCCTGAGTTTTATCCTTTATAACAAAACTGGAATCCTAAGTATAGACAGCACTTTTATTGAGTTCTGTGAGTCATTCTAGCAAATTATCAAATGTAAAGGGGCCATAGGAACCCCCCAAATTATACCCAATTGGTCAGAGGTGCAGGTGGCCCCTGAGACTTTTGGCTGACATCTGAAATGTGGGCAGTCTTGTGACGGACCGAGCCATTAAACCCGTGGAGACTGATGCTAACTCTGGGTAACTGGTGTCAGAACTAAAGGAGGTTTCCTCAACCTGATAGAGGATGGCTATTAAAAACCTAAACCTAATGTCATATCTAATAGTGAAAATCTGAATGCTTTGCCCCCAATATTGGGATTAAGGCAGGGGTGTCCACTCTCACAACTTGCATGTGACATTGCATTGAGCGTATGTGTCAATGATATAAAAAAAAAAAAATGGTGTGCAGATTATAAAGGAAGAGCCAATATGGTAATTACTTATAGATGACATCTATTTATAAAATCCTTAGTTACCTACTTAAAAAGTTAATAGATCTAATAAATGAGATTAGCCAAGGTCCCAGGATAAAAGGTCAATATACAAAGAATGTTTAGAAATTGAAAAACCATATCATTTACCACAGTATCAAAGTTTGAAATATTTAGAAATACACTTAACAAAATACATTAAACAACTACAAAACACTTATGAAACATTGCTGAGACATACATTTCTGGATCTAAAGACTCAATATTGCAATTCGTCAATTCTCTCCTAATGTTCCACAGGTTCCCACAATTATCAAATTCCTAGTGATTTTTTTGAGAAATGGACAAGCTGAATCCAGTCAGTATTCATATGAAAATGCATAGGATTGAGAATACCCAAGACAAATTTTTGAAAGAATAACAAATTATTAAGATTTTATCTTAAGAATTTTTATAGAGCTATGCTAATCAAAAGTATAGTATTGATAAAAGGATAGACATAGCAAGAGGATAGAGTCTGAAAATAGAACCACACACATATTGTCAATTTATTTTCAAAAAAAACTGCCAAAGTAGTTCAAGACTGAAAGGATAAAATTTTCAACAAATTGTTCTGAAAAATTTTGACATATACATAAAAAATAACAAAAAATGTTCAAA